TCTCCTGCACGCCATCGTTGTACACTGTCGATCTCTCAAATAATGGGTTCCTGTAAGGAGCTTGTTAGCCAGAGAGACTTGACGGTGAGATGAACTTGCCCAAGACGTAGTAAATGGGACCTTTCTACCCATGAAAGAAATCCGACAACGTATATAATCAGCGGGTCATAGCTTAGGATTCGAATTGAGTATGTCTTCTCAATCGGTTGGAAGAGTAAAACACACGCCAAATGCGGCCAAAGGACAACGATAGCAGGAACTAGGATACCTAAAAGAATCGCTCTGCTGGAGAAAGTGTGGTTGAGCATATCGACACCAATATGAACTCGGGTACACAGAATAGAATCATTGCTCGAGTGGATTTTAGCATGCCTGATATCTGAGATGAGAGTTGAGACCCGTGAGGTGTGCCCCCAGTCCTTCCAAGAGTGAAGAGGCCGATTGCAATACTGGTGCCTAGTCTCTAGTTCGGCAGTGGTACTGAAGTCAGTCCTGAGATCAGGCGCGGTAGGAATAATGAGAATGACGTTTGGGTCCTGTAAGAGCTTTGGTCTGATGTCGATGAGATGAAATTCTACTCAATTTGAGTCGTGGCACGGGCCAATATAGTCGTTCATCGACCCTGAACTATCAGTGGGCAGATTATGCGGTCGATTGAATTTTAGGGCTGACTCAACATGTAAAAGACGATTAGACTCGTAAAATGGTCGCTTGAAGATGCTGTCTTGGTATTAGTCGGCTGTTCTTTTGGTGACTCTATGCCCGTGCTGACAGCAATACTGCACAAAGCAGCAGAAAATTGCCGCATTCGAACTATCACACCTATTAGCTTGATCTAGACTTGGCCGAGACCCTTGTCCAAAGTGCTTTGCCTCACTGAATCTCATGTGTATGATGATCTTGCCTCTTTCAGCCTCAAAAAGGTAAAAGTATGAGATTAGAAAGCCTGCTTCAGTATGACCTAGGGCAAGCCATGAAGGGTATGCTGTTCACAGATCACCAAACGACAGTAGAACCACAGCCAAAGAAAAAGCCGGTGAAAGTTTAGCCGACGGGAGATGAAAAATCCCAGAGCTTCCGGCCGGTTACTGTATCCCCGCAGCATCCATCTCTATGAAGCCGGAACGACCCCACTCCTCCGCCCGATATCACATCCACGGTACCCAGGACCTGCGTAGTCTTCCTAGATGATAGCTGGGACTATTCGGATAATTCTCACCAATGAAAGCTTTGAGATGCCCGATCCCCTCGGTGGAGTCAAACTATGATCAGATCCAACCTTGAGTTGACCACACAACGCGGATAAGCTGTGGGGGGATCTTCCCGGGTCTCAAACCTTGTCACCGAAGACCATCAACGACCCTCCGGAGGACCACAACTTTCCGATGCAGAGTTTCACGCGGCTAGCAAACCGAAAATCCTAATCCAATTTCCCGTTTGGGGTATCTGGGTTGTTGGGCAGCAAATAGTGCAAGCCGCAACCTAAATCTCATTCTCCAATTACATTTTCCGACATGCTTCCTCTTAGGCATGCAAGCATGCTTCAATCATTGAACGACGATATGCCGATTGAGGCACATGCCTTCGTTTGCGGACAATGTGACATATTCAAACGCGACTGATGGTGTATAGCTGTACACGCTATTTCAAATTTGTCTTACGTGGCCGGTAACACTTGGCGAGCGGCCATTGTTATCGGGCTTGTGATCAGTCATCCTCGCCGGACGAGAGACCGACAGGCGTTACCAAGGTCCTTCTGAGTTCAATATTGCCTATCTTGATAACTACAACCTAGGGTGCCCCTCCCTGATGAAGTCTAATGCTGTCGACGATACAAGATCGTAGGAGCATGTTGAGAATTCCTAGCCTGTAAACTTCGGTTTTACGGCAGAATCCGAGTTACTCCGTGGATGACCAATTCATGATTGGGCCAGGCAGAGGATCTCTTACACTATGCACGATCTTTGCACGAATATCTTAAGCTTATCATTTCCAAATAATTCAACATCTAATGTGACTCGCTGAAGATGAACCCCTGACATTCCCAAGATTCAGTACCAAATGTTCGCCGAGCGGCATTTGATCAATCGTATCAGCTCGATGGTCTATATATCAGGGCACTCCCGCTACTAGTGCAAGGAGCAACTGGCTGGCGACCTAGTACTCATCGCTGAAAAACAATTACGCTCTGGAAGCATCAAACTATTTACTAGTACAGCTCTTTTTAATGCGGGTTGAGATTGCTTTGTTTTTGCTTGTGGGTGTTATGGTGCAGGCGGTGCCTCGTGCCATGATCACTGAGAATGACAGACTTCTTCATGACTTCGAAGTAAGTAACGACGGTCACTGAGTAAAACTATTTGATTGTATAGACTCACCATTGGCCAGATGAAGAATTCCATGGAGTCTTCGTCGGAAGGTTCGAATATGCCAGAGTGGGTTGCACGTCCAAAGGGAAGAGTCCCACCATCTGGCCCAAGCAGAAAGAACAACTGATCCCAGTGATGATCCCCTGTCTGAAAACGCCAGAAGGTGAATGCCTTCTATCCGTTTCGTCCAAGGATTTACGTATGTATAGAATGATCTACTCCTCAAGGACAAGCTCAAAGTCTTATGTGCTGTTGACTGACAACGTATTAAGTTGTCCGCGCTGGAATTGGAAAAAAAAAAAAGGAAAGAGGAGATCCGAGAAATTATTACCGACCCTCATTAAACGACTCTCTTATGCCTCGATGTTAAGACTTTGTTGTGACAGCGAATCGAAACGAAGCGACCGAGCACTATCGCGCGACCCGCGATCTTACGGAAGGGGACCGACAATAACAAGCCCTTCAACTTTTTACTGTCTTGGATAATCACTGAGAGTTTTGCAACTAAACACTCACTGTCGTTACGGAACCACAGCGGGGAGCCGAAATTGATCGTCTGCTTGTTCGTTATCACTGATCAGGTCGCAGTTCTGGCCCTCTTTCTAAAAATGGCAAAATACCAAACACACTCGTTTACATATTGATTTCCGAGACGAGTTTACTACGTGACAGGAACGTACCGATTCGATGTTGAGGAAATTTGCAAGCGATTTCAGAACTCTCAACAAGACGTTGATTTAGCTGTTTGCCTAATATGAAGTTGTACAATCATCTTCCACACGTCGGCGTCCTTGAACTGGGTAACTTCGCCCTCCATTCAACATCTTGACATAGCAACATCATGCTCTCGACCTTTTTCAAACCCGGAATGTGGGGTCCCTTGTGCATATTGCACAGGCTAAGTCTGATCGCGTTCGCCATTCATACGTGATGATCATCGTACTAAGCTCCTTTGATATCGAAGCTTTCTCTCCCAGCGTCTCTTCGAATCTTGATCGGACGGCAGGCTCGGCCGGGTTGTGGAGTGCATCCGGGCCAGATTAAAACAAGCTTCTCCCCTCCGCTACCTAGATAGGAAAGCCCTTGTTCTAAACGAGTCAAACATTGCCAAAGTCATCCTTATTCTGCAGCCATCAAGTGCTTGTAGCTGCCCCGTGTGACTCAACGTTCGTCTCTTCGAGGAAGCTGGACGAAGCAAAGAGCTGGAGCAGATCGCCATGGAGCTCGGATCGTGTGAAGCGTAGTGGCTTTCGGATCCGTCAGAGACCTGGTGAAACGAAACAACTCCAGGGGCGCTCGGCCGATGGGTTAACCCCGAAAAAGGGAGCTGAGGAGGCTCACTCTCAGTGTCTTTGAAACGTCCTCTCTCTCCGTGCGAGACCGAGACCGTGGGAAGGTCAAAGAGCACATGCGTTAGGATGCCGCATTTGGTTCCTGTCACACGTTGACAGCGCGCACGGCTTCATCATTACCTGCAGCAATAGGTGATGATCCGAAGCCCTAAGTTGCACCATCTTTTGGAATCTTCCTGTGCCTAGGTGCCCTCCACACCTGCACGCCCAGCCAAGTGAACCATAACCGAGGGGCTTGGTTCCAAACTTTTGGGCAGCAGACCCAAAGGAATGTTCCGCGGATATGTCAAGCTGTAAATAGCCCAGATGCAAAACACGATGGGATCTATGGTCTTGGCTTGCAGACTAACCGAGCGCACCGACTTCATATCATGCGCATGCCGTCCTCGGACACTTGTGCTCAAGCGGGCGGGAAGGATGTGACCCGTTAACTAAGGGGCCTCGCCTGAGTTTGTGATGGGAATTCCAGTGGAAACCATGACCACAAGCAGCTGAGTCTCATCACATGATCTGAGGAACACTCCATTTTGATTCTTGGTCCGTGTCGGAGGGGGCCAAGGATACTGATCTCCCGGCTCTCTGGTTTAAAACCCTGAAGGCGACAAGCTCGAAAGCTTGCTCGAGTCAGCCGCAGGGTCTGCCCCCCGATTCCCTTCCCTTCTTCAGCTCATCTCCCGCCTTCCATTTTAATGTTGGATCGTTCTCGGGTCTCTTGCTCGTTCATCCATACCGCCAAAATACACAACATCCCATCAACATGGTTTACACGGGGAAGCCTTCGGGCGGATGCAAGTTGTGTAGGATAAGAAAGGTCAAATGCGATGAAGCGAAGCCCTTCTGCATGAGATGCACGAAGTCGAAGAGACACTGCCCAGGCTACGGCCCCGTCGTTCGCGATTCTTCAAAGTCCGCCGACAAACTCAAGAAGATGAGAATAAATAGCACCGATAGCAATATGTCTTCCGCCGACTCATCGACAAAAATCAAGATCGGATCGCCCGGATACTGTTGCGACAAAACATCGTCATTAAGCCCGCCAAGACGAAACTCATCCCCATTCAAAATCGGACATGAAGAGGGCGACCTCATCGAATGCTTCAAAAACGTTCCAGGAGGATTGACGAATCCGCTCGACGAGCAAGCCTCGTGTCTCTTTCTCTCCGAGTTCGTCAATGTACCTTTGACTCCAACAGCTCGGGGCTACTACGCCTTTTTGCCGCGTTTTCTCGGCCGTGGCCAGATCTCAGTCTGCCTTTCAGCTGCCTTCAAGGCAACATCTATGGCAGCCTTGGCGATGCGGCAGTCAAAAGGAGCAAGAGGCCCTGCCCTCCTCCGTGCACAAGAGCACCATGTGGCAGCTTTACGAGCAGTTGGTCAGGCGATTGCCGATCCCAAGGAGATCGACAGCGATCAAACCCTAGGGGCCGTTCTGATGCTGGCGTTCTACGAGGTGAGCTATCATTATGGGTTTGGCTCTACTCTGTGCTGACATATTGCAGACATTAATGTCAAAGGACTCAATGAAGGAATACATCAGCCATCTCAAAGGCGCCGCCAAGATTGTTCAAGTACGTGGCCAGAAGTGCCTAGAGACGGATGAGGGTCGGGAAATGTTCGCCATGACACGCAACCAATGCATATCCGTCCAGAATCTGTTCAAAGAGTCGGAAATGTCCGGGTACTCATGGCTATTATACAATGAATCTGTTCAACGGTCAAATCGCGCCACCGTTGACATCAATCTTCTCTGCAACCAACTTCAGCAGGGCGTGGACCGCATCATCGCCTTAGCGAGAGACCCTACCGACGAGACTGTAGACAAGATGCTCGAACTTCTAGAAAAATGCCGGAAACTCGAAGACGAATTCAGAAAGCTGAGCGAGAACCCGAATCCGCAGTGGAAGGTCGAGGTCGCCGAATGGGTCTTTGACCGAACCGACGAAGAGCTCGACACCGAGCCCACGTTCGACGGTCAAGTGTACAAGTTTTTCAATCTACCCATGGCTGTCTTGAATTTGGTCACATGGTGTTCTCACCTCAACCTTATTACGACGATGATCCGCGCCAGCTCGTGGTTAGCATCGGCTGGCAGAGAAGGCTTGAGCGACTACGACGAGTACGGCGATCTGGTTCAGTCCGCGAGCGCCCGGGTCGCCAACATTGTTTCAGCGGTTCCGTACTTTTGCAGTTGGAACGGGTACGGCGTCATTGTTTCTCAATTCCCCTGCGGTACGACTAAGCCAGACGACCCGCTCAAGGGCGAGGCCGGTCTCATTGTCATGTGGCCGCTTGCCATGGCCTTGAAGAGCGACTACGCCACGCCAAGACAGAGACGATATCTGAGGGGCCGCCTCCGTTACATTGCGGACGTATCTGGTATCAGCCAGGCTAGGTTTTTTATGAACGAAATCTGATATGACGATAGCTGAAACGACATTTGGGATGTAATTGTACGAAATCAGATTCAGGCAGGGTTGGCAAGGCGGCGTCGGCTACTTTGAGCATAATGATTTGGGGCGCACAAGAGGCTACACTGCGGGAGTTGGGATACCAAGGCTGGGCGGCTTCAGTTGTCAGACTGATTTTGAGGAGTAATACCATTTCAGTTACGATACATGTAAACCCGAGGAACGATTAAACTACAGAATTGTTTAGTGCGATTGAATATCTGTGCAAGTAACTTGATCCATCACCTAGTAAGACGGCATCTGCGAGCCTGGAGCTTGCCTTCTAGCCTGGAGCGACATTCTTCCAAGATCCCTCAGCCATGTGGTGGTTGATAAAATGATACCACATCATCGCCAGAGAACCTGTTTCTGAGAATATTAAGCGGTCTGAAAACATTGAGATCACGACAGTTGCCCAAACGGCAACGTGCCGTGGCCAATACTGGTCTCTTGTTGGGGCTAGACCTCTTTTAGGGGTTTCATCCCATCGTCTCTGGGACCGCCTAGCGTTTCGAAGTGAGAGCCAAGTCCTGACGCTATTTAGACTCTGGACCCAACAAACAAGTCTCCACACACTCGGCACAACGAAGCGCGCACGGAGGAGAAACACGAACCAATATCACCATCACCTCATGAATTGGATGACTAGCTGCAGACCCAATCGAATCCTGTTCCTCGGTTCATTTTCGCAAGACGCAGGACGGAGCTATCCGTTTGTATGATTTGCGCAGCAGTAGTGTGCCTCAGAAAGGCGATAGATTGGTGTTTGTCCTTTGTCGTTATGGGTAGCCAGATCATGAGGGCAACAGTCCTATTGCGATTCCAACAGTCATGTCAGCTCACATTTGAGTCTAAGCAGAACGCAGTCAAGATAGAACGAGAATAAGGGCTATGTCATATTCTCAGTGTGTTCTGAGTTCGTCATAAGGATTCTGGCTCAGTCCTACAACGGACCGTCGGGGGGTTAGATCAGCCGTAGATACATGGGATGATGGAAGATCCTATGAGCGTTTGCTATTCCCGCTGTGCTCCTCCATTTGAGCCCTCAAGCGGATGCAGGGACTAGCATGTGTGCAACAAAGCGGTTTCCGCCAAACTAGATCACCGAGCGGGTAGGGACTTGCCCCCCCATGCAACCACGATCCGTTTTATACCAGCCATGGCTTGCAAGCTTACGAGCTTGACGACGATCTATCCTATTAAGTACGCGTTGATGTCACGACAGATCTCTCCAAGTTTTCTCCAACTCGACGTCTTTGAACGATATACTATACATGCATACAGAAATATCAGGAATAAGGTCAAATTGATACAATACGCTATTATCCCTCACTGGAGATCATCCTCATGTATTGACATTAACACACGCATAAAGTGATTGGCAGTACATAGTAACTCATCATCCGACCTAATCAAAACATTCCAGAGTCTTCCAGTGACGCCAAGTGATTCGAGACTGGAGCTGACGACATTCACTTTCGATCCCAAAAAAGCAGGACGCCCAATTTTTATACAACGGCTACTGAACTCAACGAAATGAAACAGTCTAATAAGTCCCATAACCATACTTCGGCCGCCAGTCCAAGTTCTCCCGGAAAATCTTCCACTTCACTATGTCCGTTGTTCCAATCGTTTGGGCTGGCTCCGATCCACCATCCTTACCATGCCAAATTTCCCGAAAACAGCGGTTTTCGTGTAGCGTTACATGAGAATCAAAAACATCCCGAGAAACATCACACGTAATGATCTCCCGCTTCGCACTAGAAGCCTTCTTAAGCGGAAACAACAAGGCCAAAACGTCGGGCAAGATATCCGGATCGCCGCGCTTCATGACCATCTCGATGGGGATATCCTCGCCAAACAGCAAAAAGACGCGAAAGGAGGTGCGCACGCCGTCCCTGTGCTTCTTCCTGACGCCGATGCTGGCCATCTCCTTGTAGAGCTCCGTGGGCAGCGTGCCGTGGTGCGGGTCGAACCAATTTGTGATGATGTTATTGAAATCGTCTGCTTCGACGGTAAAGTCAAAGGTACACTCGATCATCACGAGGCGGCGGCAGTGCGAGGGCTCGACCTTATTTGATTCGCAAAAGTGGCGCTGGTATTTGCCGTTGATGGCCCTTTCCATCTTGATCTTCATGCCGCCAAAGACCTTGCCCATGATGGATCTCTTCCTTTCGCCGGGCATCTTGTCTGGTTGGTTTTGAGGTAAATGGGATGAAGTGTCTAGGAAATCGATAGATCTGTAAGCAAGGCTGGACTGATTTGAGGTGATGTATTAGTTTTCTGGTCTGTCTGTATGTTGATGATATCTGAGACAGAAGATGAGGATCATCTTGTGTCTTCATATACAACTGCAACATCCTGAGGCTGCTTGTTCTAAATATGTGAATGAACAGAAAGAGCGTGGAGTTGCACAATCGTTTGAAGAAAATTTCAAAGGACAGCATCGATAAGGTCTTCACAAGTCGACACAAAGCCAATACTAAGGATGGTGTTGGGCTTTGTCAACCTTTGAAGTTGCTTATAATGATGTCTTGGTATACTATTTGCAGTAACAAAGGATGATTGTGCTCTTCTTAGCTAGATGTTCTTGTTTGAGGCAAGTTAGGAAAGTTATCTTGTTAACGGCACAATGTGGATGTACCCTTAGTAAAGCCAAGGTGTGAACACAAGACGTTCCTGGCATGCTCTTCAGAGTATAGACTGGATACGATTCCTTGTCTTCCAAGATAGACAATTGCATGTCCTCAGGAGGAGACATCTCAAGTGGCAAATCTTAGCCAGTCAAGCGCGGTCGAGTCCAATATTTTTCCAGCCACGTTTGAACTCGATTCCGTGTCTCGAGTTTACGCCTTCATTCCTCACACGGAAGCTCTGTTGCCACCCTGCGAGGCTGATTGAAGAATGACATGTTGCCATCACGAAGCTCAGCATCTTTTGACAAATGACGTAAATTCAAACACGGTAGAGTTTACTAGTCCGCCACACTTCGTGGCGGGATGTGGCGAGCAGATAGGTAAGCTTCCGATAGGGTCGCCTTCTCATAGCAGTCCCAAGATTTCATGCGTGAACACGACAAGATTCGTCTCTAGCTTCGCTTGAAGCTTGACTAGCCATCGCATTCAATTGCAGTGCGAACCCGAACCAGGTACAGAGCCGTGCAGACTTGGCAGGTAAGCTTCCGGACCCGAGCAAGCTTCCGGTTTTCCATCTCACCTTACCTACCTATAGTACCTCAGGTGAGAAGGTAGGGTGCAACTTGAACTACATTGGCTGCATTCTTTCCTCGTGTGTCATTTCAAAAGAAACAGACGAAGTGGGAAAGCGCAAGGCTTACAATAATCTAGATGACACTTGCCAAGTCAGTAAGGCTGACGTGGTTCTGCAGCTCGCCGGCTCACTATGCAGGGCTACTACTGTCTTGGATCTACGCGCCAACGCGGCGGTTCGCATGTGACGACTAGTAAGGTTAGGTTCATTTGCCCGTTTGTGGGGTAATTGAATCTGCAAGACGGAAAACCAGTTCCCGCCTACGCGCCTGGCCGCGTTGCCAACTCATCCCACACATCTGCCATGGCAATTAACACCACAATAGGCGCGCCTTTAGCTCGAGAGTGGCGATGCCGCTTTTTCTCGACGGTCCTTAATACCATACCACGAATCCACTTGAGTGTTGTTTTCTTTCATGCGACGGGGCGTTCGTTCTGTCCGAAATTCCGTCTGAGCTGTTGGAGAACTGTGACGCATCAACCCGACGTGTTCGTTGTGTGTCATGCTCGAGGTCTGAGCACCGAGCCCACGGGAACGCCTCAGTAACCAACCACCGCCACACCCGACCTAGATAACCATTTGGCAACCTCTTTCAAGTTTACCTGATTAATTTTAATGCCAATTCTGTAATTGGAAACTCCCTCATTGGAAAAAGCAATCATGAGGAGTTGTTCAACCTTCGTAGCGCTGCTGCGCCTAGCAGACTGGGTAACACCAGCCCAAAGCGACGCAACAACACCAAGCGACACAGCCGCGAAGCCGTGCTCCCCCGACAGCTTTGTATTCCCCACGGAGCTCGAGGGCGCAGACCTCGTGGGCGTAACGGCGGCCGAGGTCAGAGACCTGATGTTCAACCCATTGACACCAGAGGGTCGCGCAGCCATCCCGTCGACGGGTGTCAGCTTCTGCAACGTGACGGTTAAGTACGTCCACACGGGCTTCGACGACGTGACGCAGGTGCAGATATGGCTTCCATCTGCCGAGGCGTGGAACGGACGGTTCGTGGGCGTCGGAGGAGGAGGGTACTCGGCCGGGCAGTTTGGGAGCGAAAAGGTCGTCGCGACGTTGGCGCAGGGATATGCGAGTACGTTTTCCGTCATCGATCTTTTCTCTGCCTCACGGGCGCTATTGCTGGTTTTCATACGGGTGAGCTAAGTGAACTGACACCGTGATAGCAAGTTCAACAGACGCCGGGCACGATCACACAACGTGGGAAGAGGCGCCTTGGGCGCTGAAGAAGGATGGCACGGTCAATGAGCGATTACTCGTGAACTATGCCCACGTCTCGGTGCACGATATGACCATCATTGCAAAGTCGATTGTAACGCAGTATTACTCTCGGACGCCAGAGTACTCGTACTGGAGCGGGTGCTCGACGGGCGGCCGGCAGGGCACCATTGAAGCGCAGCGGTATCCGGGCGACTACGATGGCATCCTCTCGGGCGCGCCGGCTGTGAACCAGCCGAGTCTCATCATCAGCACGTACTGGCCTCAGTTCGTTATGAACCAAAAGGGCGTGTACCCGCACATCTGCGAGCTGATTCTCATGACGCAGTTCGCGGTTGAGGCATGCGACGAGCTTGACGGCGTGAAGGACAACATCATTGCGGATCCGGACAAGTGCCCGTTTGACCCGGCGAGCGTGGTTGGCAAGGAGCTTGACTGTGGCAACATGAAAATGGTCATGTCGGCCGAGGCGGCTGATGTCGCGCGGGAGATCTGGCGGGGTCCGCACGGCGCGGATGGGAAACCGCTCTGGCTGCCAAAGGGGTACCCGGTCGGCGCACCCTTCACTGGCCGCTTCGGGCTCGGCAACACAAACTGTAGTGTACCGGATGCGCCTTGCGTCGGTCGGCCATTCCAGATGTCGGTGGAGTGGATCCGCAACCTCGTGCACAAGGACCCGAGCTACGACGTGAGCGGTATGACGTTTGCCGATCTCGAGGCGGCGTACGAGACCAGCAGGCGGGAGTTTGACAGCATTATCGGGGCGAATAATCCAGACTTGTCCGAGTTTAAGAGACTTGGGCGCAAGATGATTAGCTGGCACGGGCTGGCCGACGAGTGTGTAACGATGCGCACGTCGAGAGACTATTACGACCGGGTGCTGGCGGTGGACGCGGCGGCGGATGGGTATTATCGCCACTTTGAGGCGCCGGGAGTGTACCACTGCTATGGGCTGAATGGCACGTTTTACCCACTGAAAGGATTAGAGACGCTGCGAGCTTGGGTCGAAGAGGGGAAGACGCCGGCTGTGGTGGATGGGTTCAAGCTGAGCGGAGGGAACGATAGCACGGCGCCGACGAGGCCGTTGTGTGCGTATCCCGCGACTGTGAAGTATGTGGGTGGCGACGCGGATAAGAAGGACTCGTGGATCTGCGAGAAGCGATCAGCAAGTTGCCCGAAACCTGAATGGGACAGGGACGAGCTGTAGTGTTGGAGTCATGTGGCGGGTAAAGATTTGCATGTCTGGTGTAGTAATTTGGATAGCATTCTATCGATAGAGAAAAATAATGGCAGTAACTTCGTGGAATGAGACAATGTAGATGCATGATCACCTCGAACTGTCATGTTGCCGGAGCTGGAAGTTTGCTCCCGGAGTGTTCTTCCGGAGTGTGGTCCGCCAATGGAAAGAGGCACCCCCGAAGTACTGTGTATGTTTCCGGAGGAAAAGGCCCGCTCAGAAAGACGCTTATGTCATCCTGAGATGGTTACATAAGAACACTTCGAAGGACCCCGACACCCGCAGAAAAACGTGACTCCACCACGGCGAACCGAGGTGGTCCGCTGGGGCCATCGGCATCCCAAAACCCGAATTTCCCAGTTTTTCAGGGTCCAATCCCCGCTAGTGGTCCCCCCCATTGCCCCCCCTCTCCCGTGCTACTGGCCCACCCCTTGGCCCCTCTCTGCTGACTTTAGCATCTTTTGCCGCCTCTGCTTTTCCACTTGGTAGCAAATTCCCATGCGCAAGCCGCAAAAGGCCGCAAAAAAAACATTCGCCACCTCTCACAAAGGGTCCGACGCCAACTTTCCTTCTTAAAACCACACTCCTTTCGATCGCTCTCGATCCCCATTCCTCGCTCCATGTCCGAAGATCGAGCCTCAACACCACCGATCTATCGGCCCTCTTCGACATCCTGGACAAACCACCACACACAACCAACACTCGTACCCTTTGCCCTGCCTGCACGGCCAGCTGTGCCAGCCTGTGCTTCTTCCGCTGCGACCTGACCAGCCAGCCCGCCGCCTTCTTCGTGGTCCCCCGCCGCTGCCGCTGCCGCTACTGCTGCCTGTCGCACCGCACCGTCCAGCTCCATGACCTTTGCGTCTGCGGACCTGCTCCGATCGCTCCGGGCCTAGACCCCCGGGCTCACTCGATTCGTTCGGCCTAGATTCCAGGCCTTGTCTATTATTTCGTCTCTTCTTTGGGCATTTCGGCCCCTATCCGCTGTGTGCGCTTCCTCCGTGGTTGGCCGGCCCTTGGGCCACCGCTCCGATTGATGCCTTCCGGCCCCTCCAACCCACGATCCGCTGCTACCCCGAAATCAGGGTCGTCGCCCACTGGCGCCCATGGCCCGACTGCGATAAACCCCACCGAATCGCACATCAATGCCAGTAGTGATGGCCAAGACGATCCCAGAACTCCCAACAGGGTCTCTTGGAATCATCTTCGTCAGGGCGAGAGTCATCAACGCGTGAGTCTATTTTACGTTGTTCCCCCCTTTCCCCTTCATATCAGTTCCTTATCGGAAGGCTTCATCGAGCCCACCCGTCTCCCCCATGAAAACATAGGTAACTTAATTATCTCATCGTCAACTTCACGCTCGTCATACCTATGCAATGATTCCCCCATCTAATACTTCGATTCCTTTAGATCCGCCATGGTGCTCAGCAATTACTTCGCCTAACTGGCAGATTCCCCACCTACAATGGCGCCAGTCAAGAAGAAGGCTATGATGCCACCAACGACCACGCCCTACCCACCGAAGATGATTTGCGTGCCATGTCAAGATTATCCCACAACATCGCCCGCGACATACACGAGATCAGAACACTTCAAAGAGAAGATCCCAACGCCCACAAGCGCAAGTTGGGGGGCGAGGGTAGTAGTGAGCAGCAACGAACCGCCGCTGCCAGGAGCCACGCCGGGAACAGCGGCAGTCCCACGGGCCGCAGGCATCGCCGCAAGACGATTGATTTCTCGTGTCACAAGTGTCACCGCGTCGATACCCCGGAATGGCGGCCAGGTCCCGATGGCCCCAGTACCCTTTGTAATGTGTGTGGACTGATTTACGCCAAACGCGAGCGCAAGAAGGAGGAATCGACGATGCCCACCTTTGGATCCCGCTAGCTTTTTCTTGGACATATTTTCTTTATCATTTCTCTTCTTATTCTTATTCTTCTTCTCTTTCTCTCCTCACTATTCATACCAAGCTACGTCGACGGATATATGGGGCAGGAAGAGCAATCTTTCATCGGTTCTGAAAAATGGAATTACGAGACGACTGCAAGGCGTTGGAAGCTGCTTCTAGGCATTGATACCCAACATGATCTGATAGATATGGACTGTTTCCCTTTTGATGTTTTTTTCTTTTTCTTTTTTTCGATTGGGAGACCTTTTTTCGGCTGGCGTTTGGCGCAACGGACAGGTGGACTATGAGAAATACCCGACCAAAGAATCAAATCAAATCAAATCACAATTTGCCACTTATTGCTCGTACTGCCTTTGCCATTTCCACATCGCAACGTTACCCAAAAAGGTGAGCAAGGTGGCTGGAAACTAGTAGACGATTCCTATGTCTCGTTGAGGCTCAGGCGACATCGTTTCTTCTCAACAGATCTTCCCCCATGAACAGCTAGGCGGAAGCAAGGGCTGACCCGTGTCTGACCATCGACGTCGATTGTCTGATTTTAGCTCATCCGCATTCGACACACAGTGACACAACTGGGAGGTGCTATTTTGACAGACAAAGACAGAAATGCCCATCCCGCCCGAAGCTAGCTCTCTCTCCCCCGCTCCTCTCGTCGTCCTGTACCTCAATCTGCCTAGTCTGCGGCAGGTCGCTGGTGAGCCGGGCACGTACCGGGGTAAGCTGTGCAAACACAAGCAGCTGTGCGGCGGCGGCGACAATAGCTCAGCTCCACAGCGAACAGCGCAAGGTCTCCGATGAGCCGCGCCGAGGGGGAGGGATGCGGGGAAGGTAAACGACCCCACGCGGCAGATCACTCACGAGGTCGCTCCTCCAAAGCCCAAGCAAAACACAACGATTCACGTCAGCCCGCCGGCCGTTTTCCCCAATTTTCCGTTTGTTCCGTGTTCCCCCAGAGACTACCAACGACATGACTGGTTGAATAGGCTCCGTAACCGATGTTGCATGCAGCTTGCCAGGCAACATTTTCAAAGGAAAAAGCTCGTATTCAGACCATACTTGGATGTATGTCTTGAACCTCCTGACCATCATCCCCCAAAGTTCCCGAATGAGGGACGGAGTGCCATCGTTTAATCTATTTCGCCGAGCTACATGTTCGTGTTCGTCTGTTCACATCGTGGCATCGTCACATCGGTTCGAGTATTTGGGGGGATGTTTTGGAGTTTAAGTCTATTTCATGTAGGGTGAGATGATCTTTAGTCACAAGTTCTCCCCGACGGAGGTTGCAGGGCAGAGGCTCACGGAGGTTGGAGGTGCCATGGATGCTCATTTAGGAAACATCGTGACATTTTGGTTGATCGACGCTCGTATCTAGATTCTTAGCTTCTGTGCCGTCGCCCGGCAGCTGAGACCCTTGAGCTTTTCATGGCAACATAGCATGATTTCACTCGTAATTTGTGAAAAGGCGGTCACCGGCTGGATATATAAGTCATAAATAGATTCTTACATCAGACTTCTTGAACAGCATCGGCCTCAACCTCATTGCGAGAACATCATCACAGTTCATTAAAGCCACAAAGCTCCACAAAAAAAACAATCCTCACCCTTCTAAAACCTACCAAATCCCAACTCAGACAACATCAAACTCTCCAACCTCCAACATGCATATCAACTCCCTCCTCATCCCCCTCCTCGCCGCCGCAACCCAAACCTTAGCCCTCGGCAAAGCAACAGTCGTAAATAACTGCGCAACCGAAGTCTCCGTCTGGTCCGTCGGCGGCGACGTCCGCGCCGCCGGACCCTTGGCCGCAAAGGGCGGCTCCTACAGCGAGACCTTCGCCCGGGACCCGACCACCGGCGGCCGGGCCCTCAAGATCACCCGCGCGCGCGACGGCCTGTACACGGGCGCGCCGCAGCTCGTGTACGCGTATAACCTGGATGGTGCGGGAGTGTGGTATGATTTGAGCACCGTTTTCGGGGACGGGTTCAAGGGGAACAAGATTGTTGTGGCGAGTCGGCTTACGAGCTGTCCTGCTATCGTGTGGGAGGGTGGTGTTAGTCCTGGAGGCAGTCAGGTTAAGGTTTGTACGGCGGATCAGGATGTTGTTTTGACGCTTTGTGCTTAGGAGGTTTGACGGACATTAGGCCGTTAGACTGGGGAGGAGGAGGGTGGTCTCGATGAGGGGTGAGGCTGAAGTCGAGGGCGAGGAGAGTGTGATTACATGCCTACATAGTTTCAATGTTTAATGTTTTATCAGCATCCTTACCACATATTGCTAATATTTGGGTCCATGTGGCTACAGGGTGTACAGCATCGACTATTTTTGCATCTACCGGCCGGCTCGTACGTCAAATACATTCACTAGTCATGCAAACGATAGACACTTGTGTTATTGTGACTGATATCTAGTAAGGCATACACTATCTACTTATGAAATGAACTTATGACACCATGAGCAGCACGTACTGCCCGTCCACTTGTGTAACATTAGGAATGGTAACCGAGTTGTCCGGCAAGATCCCAATAATCTCCCCGGCCATCAGCTGGAACGGTACTTCGCTAGTAGTCCCAAGTGCTTTCTTCGCCACCCTGACTGGGGCTGGTTGGACAAATCCTCGAACGGCGGAAAGCATAGAAGGATTAACTAGATACCAGAATGTCAGTTCGGGTCTTGCATCATGTATGGCCAACGGCACTTTTGCAGGAGAACTTACACGGAAATTTCATATCTGCGAGCATAGGCGCGCCAGGGGAACTCGAGTTGACAACCCATGCGAAACTGTTAACCGGCACCAATCCCGGCGGAACAGCCTGCGGGGAAATCCCGTTCACGATATCAATGTTGATACCCATATCGGTACTCGGCACAACACTCAGCCTCAAGCCGTCAATAAACTCAGCTTCCTGCCGATTGCCCGCCGTAACGTTGACCGTCCTCGTGGCCCCCTGGCCGTATTGCACAAACTCGTTGGCTGTATCCACCGTCTTGCGTCCAAGCAGGATATACTCGCCCTGCAGCGACGTCATCTTGATGATCCTGGTATTGTTCTCCTCTCTGTGCACATTGCGCGTCGCGTCGTTGACGATCCAGCTTCGTTTGTCACCGGCCAGCGTGCCGACGTAGGTGTTGCTCTCTTGTATGCCGATCGCAGCGAGGGCCGTCGGGTCGTAGGGGATCTCGATCTTGGCGATGAGGTCGTTTGCCGTCTCGTTGAGACTGATGACGTACGAGTAGTTCTGGATGGCCATGAAGGGACCGCCCGTGGTGCCCGTCACAAAGTTGCCCGGCAGCGGGGTGAGGTTCTGTTGAACGACCAGCGTGCGGTTTTTGGGCGAAAAGAGGTCTAGTGCTAAGCCATCTTGAAAGTCTTGGTCGGTTCTTTCCATCTAATGGACGATGTCTTTAGCGAATGCAAAGACGAAATTCGGATTGTGGAAAGGCATTTACACTGCCGAGGACATTGATGGGATCACCAAACTTTGCCTTATCTGCTGCGTCCTGGCCGAGGACCAGGACCGCAGCGGCGATGAGCCACGGCCCGAAGAGCCTCGCGTGGAAAGGGAACCGACACATTGACTTGCTGGAAGATTAATATCGAAAAACGGATATGCTGTAATATCACGAGACTGATTGGTACAAAGAATTAAGATTTGATGGCCAGCCCGTACATGATATTATACCACATCAACCAAAGGTCGAAAAGAGACTCAAGGACAAACCAGTTCATCCCCTGTTCAGGGGTCAATCACCCGAAACCACAGCCGAACCCCGTGAGCTAGACTGAAAACGCAACATCATGAAGCTTTACTCGCGTCCATATCTCGTGAATACCAATAAGTCGAGGCTGCCTGTCGGCCGAGCTGCCGAGGCCACCTCGATTTCCGAGCAAGTGAACCGAGACCGACGCTGTGGTAATACTCTAATGTAAGGGGACCAGGCCTTCGGTAGGTACTCCAGGAGTCCAGGTCCCGCCTCCGCAGGGCGCTTTGCAGGGGGGGGGGGGGGCTTTTAAAACAAGCTTTAGGATCTACTAGACCTGGTCTAGAATAGAGTTTAGCGTCAAACCAATGATACAGTCGAGTAATAATAAGTTCAGATGAAGTCCAAACCCAACGTCAGCTCTGCACGTTTGACTCTTCTTTCAGACGTAGGGGTTCATCCATCTTTACCGGGGAGTATTCATTTTAGGTCGCCCACTGCTGTTTATTGTCACTGTCTTTCTTGAGCTTACTTCCGACTCTGCAATATATCGGCATGGCCACTTTGCGTATCGAAGTGTGAAGTCCTGCAATCATTCGTGGCTTCGTTGAAAGATAGGGCGCCCTAGGCGTTTCATGTTGTGATCCGACATGCTTCAACTGGACCATCCCACTGGTAGAGTCGGCCTACCCGAATGTAACTTCTACGGCGCAGAATCCAGGACAAAAGTTCGCAACATCTACCTTGGGCAATCTTCTACAGGATTGAAGCTGGTAGCAGGGCAACGTTCTCTCATTTCCCTTTACATTTGCCTCAATGGGAAATGTTCGGTGGAAGAAATACATCCCTCGTCCAATCTTTCCTCGGCCCCTGTCACCAAGCGTGAACTTCAAATGGTGCGGTAGCGAATCATCTAAGTGTTGAGGATGAATGGGCTTTCTTGTTATGAGCTTTGAATAAGCATACCTCGGCCAGGATGACATTAGACGAGGCAGCTTGGATGAAAAGATCGAGCCTACCTCTGTCTAGTGTCAAGCCTTATTCACCTCGCCCGAGCTAGTCTATTGTCGCTCCACATTCTCCTGATGGCCCGGTACTTCCCTCGCGTAATATGGCTTAACGGGGCAAGGCAAGGACTCGGTTGACTCTCATACTTCTATCAAGTCACGGAAGCACCCTCATCCGTCCGCCCTGCACCCGAGGCCCCCGTGGCCCCCCTTCTATGTCCAAATCGTATTCAAAGACGATACCCTGATAAAAGAAAAAGCAGATCAAAGAAGGAGCAATGGATCACACAGACAGATTTACGTGAGCCTGAAGTGTCACGTAAGATGATCATGCTAAGTGATGGATATCAGCCCTGCGCTCTACTTTTAAATCTGTCCTTGCCAGAGTCAGGAACAAGATTCGGGGTTTCAAGGTATTGGAGACTAGTAGGTAAGAGACTAGACGAACCTGAAAGCCCATCAGCAAGACAAGGTCCGAAGGAACTGACGACGCCGATTACCTTGGGCAGTATCGACGTTTCTGTTGCATCGATCAACACCAAACACTACGAGACCCCCGGCGTACATATCCATGACGCTTATTAATTAACTAAAGCTGGTGCATGTGATCAAATTAGGTAAATGGGCAAGTATGTATTTCCATTGGAGCTTCCATCACGTCGAGCATCGACGCCAGATTTGAGGTGAATGCGTTCAACAATGACTAAATCCCTTTCCCCAACAGAGACATCTGCCTGGCGTGGGGCGGAAGATTTAAAGTCATTTCAGCGTCGCAATGGCGATGGTCTCCACGTTGCCATCCTGTCAGAGTGAAGTACTGCAATATGGAAGCCTGAAATGCATGTGGGGCTGAGGTGCGAAATATGTGCTGTCTACAATCAATACAATCAACATACGAGCTGCATATTTCAGACGAAGGCAGATCAACTATCAGTATCATTATTTCAGAGTTCGATTTGGATTGATCCGATGTCATAGTGCCCAAGACGGCACAACTTGATCATGTCACTCCTACTCTAGACAAAGGCCCGACACGTCTTACCTCTCCACGAGAGAGCCACTCAGGAACTGAATGACTCCAACGTTGAGAGCGCAAACCCTTTAAATGAGCTTCAAGATTCCCTCCGCAATCGTATCGCTCTTGAACCGCCAACCCACAGTGACGCAACTTGCGACAGGTGCGAAAAGCTACGCAACGACCCAGATGATTACGAGTTGATCTCAGGCCTCCGTTACTGGTGTCTCAGCTGTGAAACAACGCAGGCAGACTTCTGTTCGACGTGCGTACTGGTTCCCGGTCAAGGAATCGACCACGACCCTGCGCATCGATTGGCGCAAGTGCAGCCTACCGTATGCTCAGTCTGCGAAGATGTTGAGCGACTCGAGGTCCAGCCGGCAGACATGCACCGTGGGCCATAAAAGGAATTCTCAGTAAAGGACAGTACACTCAAGGAGGTCGCGGAGACTAGAAGCTGTGGACTCTGTACTTTTGTGTGGAGATTGTTTGCTCAGTCTCCCCCAGAGGGCCTCAAGTGGCCTCCTGACGATGATGAGGAAGTTACAATCAGAATCAGGAAGCAGTGGCGGGATTGATTGAATATCTCTATTGTTTCTGATCTCGCGACTGAAGAAGAATTTGAAATGCGCGGGGAAAAGTATGTCAGGAGGGGGCAGAATGCCGCGGATGTGGAAAAGGAGATGTTCGTGGGCCCCTCCATCTGTAAGAAAATCTTCTCGCGCAAAGAGTTGATTCGCCCGGACATTTACCAGGCTCAGAGCGCTGACCCTTTCCTCGCAGCTTGGTCTCACAAGATGCCCGTCAACGAAATCACTTCAAAAGAAGAAGAAAGAAGGACTTGGCAGACTGAAATCTGCAAAGTGCTACCTAGTTCAGGATCCAGTGAAGCTCTCCAGCTTGCTAAATCATGGCTCGACAATTGCTGCGAGAGACATTCTAAGTGCACAGCAGTCTCACCGCATATGCTACCGTCTCGATTTTTGATGTTGCAAGGCCAGGAATCCTCGCGCGTTTATCTCAAAGAGACAAAGGGCATTGAAGGCCGTTACGCTGCGTTGAGCTACTGTTGGGGTCCAGGCCGACCGGGCCTCATCACGACCAAAGATAACTACCGCGATCATCAGGACTTCGGTATTCTAATTAGCAACCTTCCAGAGACGATTAGAGATGCATTTCATGCAGCAAGGATGTTGGGATTGGACTATCTCTGGGTCGATCGGCTCTGTATCGTTCAGGATTCGGTAGACGACTGGGCTCACGAAGCGGCTCTTATGTGCGCGGTATACTCTGGCGCAACACTCACACTCAGCGCCGATGGGAGCAACTCAGCGACACAGGGTCTATTTCAGTCAGATCAGACTTTGTCTGCGCTCGAATACAGGACATACTACGAGCCTGGAGGCGACAATCTAGTCTACATCAAGCGCCCAAGCCACGCGTCCCTGTCTGGTCGGGCATCAGACATGACGCAGCCCATCGACTAACGCGGGTGGACAATGCAAGAACGCCTGATGAGCCCTAGAGTCCTGCACTTCACTCAGGAAGAAATGGTCTGGGAATGCAACACCCTCACAGAGTGCGAATGCCGCCGCGAATCCGCCATGTCAACGCGGGAACTGGCGCCTAGCAGTATCGCCACCCGAGAAGGGCTGTACAAGCACTGGCGACATATAGTGCGCTAGTACGCCAAACGGCCTCTCGCGTACGAGACGAATAAGATGCCAGCTCTTCGAGGTCTCGACGATAAGTTCCAGCGCGTCATGCAGGATTTCCTTGGTCAAGATACCGGCGTCAAAGACGAGTATCTGGCCAGACTCTGGCGGAACGATCTGGTGGAGGCCCTCCTGAAAGCTACAAACCACCGACGAATCTTAAATATCGGTGTAGACAGAGACTTGGACAGCGAAGCCTGGGAAAACATCCTCGCCGAACGCAACCGCCTCAAAGACTGGCACCAGTCCGGCGACGTCAAGGAGATGTGTTTTTCGAGCCTTGCTGAGCCGTATGATGTCTTTATCGAGTTTGTGCCAGATGACCCGCCTGGTTTGCTGAAGAAATGGGGGTCTGATCTTACCGAAGTCGTGGTGTTGCTTTTGGGGACAAGGGACTTTGCTCCGGAGAAGGGGGCTTATGGGAAAATTGGTGGCTTGAGCAACCCGGTGAAGATATCGCGGAAGAGTCCGGGCGAGAGGGAGAATGATGAGGTCAATGATGAAGACACGGCTGTTGTGGCCATCCTACCGGCCTGCGAACTTCCTAGCGAGTTAGTTGAAGCCTTTGTGGAAGACACAGAATACCCTCGCTTCACGACATTCTTGGTCCTGAAAGAGTTGAGATTAGGAAAGGGCAAATATGAGAGGCTTGGCTGCTTTGACGTCTGGAGTAGGAATGATATTGGCGTTGCTAAAGCGCTTTTCAGCAGCTCGGCTAAAGAGACAGTTACGATCATCTAAGGCAAGTCCAACAGGAAGATTCATCGTCGAAAGAATCTCAAGAGGATGGACACGAAATCGGCTTCAGCCGCTTCAATTCCTGGTGTCAATCAGTGGGTGATTGCCTTTGGATTACTTGTTACTTGGCAGGGTTACAGACTCAATGGGACGATTGTGGTAGCAGCATCGACAATCTGAGAGCAGCGACTCAGAGCCGAATGTAATCGATCCATAGACAAGCATCTTCTTCAAAATCCCGTGCCATCATTATCATCCATGAGACATAGTACGAAGAAAGCTGTAACACCCTCGTTCTCGTTCCCGCAGTCGTAAGTAAGGTCAGCAGTAATCTCCGGCCCCGCGTAACTGGGCGGAGGCTGTGTTAGCCGACCATATCAATCGGCTAGACGGGGTATTTGGCAAGGCCCCTTGGCCCCGGAACCGGACTTTGAGAAGATCAATCCCACCGGGAATTGGTGTCACCGACAACGCCGACTTTTACCATTGGCGATGTAACATACGATGGCTCGAAGTCCGAACCGAGTGCAATTTCGAGGCTCATGTAACTTATGTCGTACTCATGCAGGCTAGAACATGACACGGCCAGCGAGAGTGCCTGTCTCATTGAATTAAATAACAAGTCTGCCTGACCAATGCCTTCGCAATGCCATAGAGATATGTTTCAGCGACCTTCGGCCCGTTTGATACAAGTGGTGCTAAGATCCTCCTCTTCGCCGGGGCTATCCCACACTGATTAAAGTTGCAAGGTTGGATCACAGGCCGCCAAGCAGGCAGGCCTAGAGCAACCAATCATATTTTACGGTATGCGGCTTGAGAACGAGCGTCTATCAAATCAACACATTTTCCGCGATACGCCGCTGGGAAAGAAAAACAAATCCCAAAGAAAGAGTCTACAATTCGTAAATCGGCCTGCCGAAGAGGGCGCCATTTATTCAATTTTAGTGTGGCAGCTATCAGCGGCAAGCTTGGCTCCCAACCACTCGAAGCACTGCAAGCAGGTGAACTGCGCCTCGTTGAGATAAGGCTTGGCGCATCCCACCAACCTCTGGAGAATCGAGACACACACAACATCTCAGCCAGACTTTTCTACCACGAAACGGTGAGATTAACTCGCTCTTTTCAAAAAAAAAAAAAAAAAAAAAAAAAAGAGTTAAAAAACTACGTCACACCGCAGGATTGCCGGTGGCAGTGCACATTTCGCGCTGGGCAGTGCAAAACGTTGGCAGCGGGGCTTGGCAAGACGGAAAGTACCTCGCACAGAGTCGTAAGTACCATTTGATTGAATGAGCAGTCGAACGAATGAATGAAGCAACAAGATTCCCAACAATATGTTTGCAAAAGAGGCCGCCTCGTAACTGCGCAGTCCATACATCCACCCTCCCATCATACGAAATCTCCTTTCGCCATCTCATCTTGCCACTGACTTGTCTTCCACGGTATTCACGTATTCTAACCGGATCTCCTTCTCCTCCGAGCCAGTCGCATAGACAGCAGCGGGAGAAGTATCCGCCAAGACATCCTTGACGCTCTTGCGTTCTTGCAAAGCGGTCCAGACCGTGGTATGCATGCTCCTCATGAAAAGTAGATCCATATCTTCCAGCGTGAGACCTAGCACGAGGCGCCTGCGTCAGCCACAATGACAACGGCGATGGAGAAAGATGCTGAGGATAATACACTCTGACGGCGGTAGGAACTAGAGAATGGGGCGAGCAAGACTTACCTTTGGTTTCTGGTACGAAGAAGAAAGCCCACACGCCCATCAGGATCATGAGAGCGCCGAAGAACATGTAAGTTCCATAGCCGAGCGACGTAATCATGTAAGGCGTAGTCCGTGAGACGATGAAGCTCCACAGCCATTGATCTGCTGTCGTGATTGCGACGCAGAGCATGCGGATGTCTAAGCTGAATACTTCACTGCAGTACAACCAAGTGATGCCTTGCCTGTAGGAGTGGTTAGACTTCATGCCTCACTCACAGACTACCAATACTAGCAAAAGAAGCCTCACCAAGTGGCGCAGTAAATCAAGCCATAGAGATACACGCAAACCATGGCGATATATCCCCATGCATTACGGTCGGTATTGCCAGCAGCCGCCTGGCCCGCAGGGTCCGCAAGAAACGTGAAGCCGCCAATGTACCACATCGGGAGGGATCCGATGAAGGCGCCCCAGATGAGACCATTACGCCGGCCGACTTTTTCAGCGAGCCAGACGGTAAAGATGACCATGCCTAGGGTCTTGGCTATACCGTAGAAGCCCGTCGCGAAAAGCTTGGTGCTCGTGCCTGTGATGCCAAGAGTCTCAAAGATGCGAGGCGAGTCTGTTTTCTCGTGTCAACGGGAGAGCACTCGAGTCAAAGAACGTCTTCTTCTGCTCACAGTATGTAATGATGTTGACGCCTGTCAGATTCTGGCAGGCCATCAGAAGCAGACCGATGCCGATGCGGTTGCGAGAGCCCTTCTCGAACAATCGCTTGAACATTTGAGACTTTGTCATACGATTCGCGCTGCTGTCTTCTACTTGCCGCTTGATATCACTGATCTCGTTGCTGACATAGTCATGGTCTGCTGGCAGCTCGCGAACATGAACCAAGACTCTCTTGGCGTCTTCCCACCTATCATTCTTTGCCAGCCATCTCGGCGACTCGGGACAGATGAAAATGCCAAAGAACAATAGGACTCCCGGAAGCAACTGCAAGCCGAGGGGCACAATCCACTGCGTTTGTGTCGAGTCTGAGATTGTGCGGTCCACTGCGTAGTTTACCCAGAAGCCGCACATCCCTCCTCCCTGTGATGCAATTTCAAAAAGCCCGACCAGGCGGCCGCGGATGGACGGTGGGCTGATTTCAGAAATATACACAGGGACAATAAGGGACGTGGCACCAATGCCCAAGCCAGCGATGGCTCTCCCGGCAATCAACAGTCCAATCTCTCCGTGGGAAGCCGTCATGAGAGTCCCGCCGACCAGGAAGACGAGAGCAGAGATCATGATTGCCCTCTTGCGGCCGAGCCACTCTGCCAAGGGGAACATGAGCAGGGCGCCGAAGAAACACCCTGCCTGGAACGTGGAGACGATGTTGCCTTGGAGAGTATCACGGACAGTTGGCGAGCTATCCGCAAGGTCGAAATCCCGGCGGAATGAATCCAGAGCCATGGTGCCACCTATGACAGAGGTGTCGTAACCCACTGGGCTGTGTTAGTCTAGGTCCCGTCTCTGTCGAGCTTGGGGGCTAAGTGAAACTTACTGGCAATAGCACTCATTGAGGCAATGATTGCTATCATGTGAATGCGCCAATTGCGTACTTCACTAGGATCGTTCGTCCCATCTGCGTGGAGGTTAAACCCCATATTGCTCGGTGCTCACTGCTCAGCCTCGTGGCGAGAACGAGTTTGACCTCAAGTCAGCCTCGGGTTACCAATTTCTTGGCAGATCGAACGAAACGATGCAAAAAACACCGTCTGTGCTGGCACCACAGTGACAGGAAAGGTTGATGACAATCGATTGTAAGCTACGCGAGGCAAATGGAAAGCGCAATAACTCCAGCCACTATCGATGCCCCAGGCCTCGATAGCTAGACAGGTCCGTTGACTGACATGCGCAGAGGCGATAATGTCTCCTTTATGGATGAGATACGACATGGCAGCATGTTTGCCTGCATGGCATCGTTACGTTGTAGGACTTGACAGATCAACGCGACGCTAGTCTATCTCACAGAGCAACACTGTAGACTGGCGGAAACCCCATGTTGTTGATGGATGGTTTCCTGAGCTGGATGCCTCGAGCGATACACCCTTTCGAGATCAGCTGGACAAGTTGGATGCAGTTCAGTCGAAGCTTGGCCGTCTTGTTCAGGGGATCATGGCCAAGATTCTCTGGCTAGACGACAAGCTTCCCCGCGTTCCCCGCGTTGGGTATGCAGCGACTAGGATGGTGGCCTTGACATTCTTCCGCAACCACGGTAGTTGACGCCTGAAACATTGCAGATATCGGGATGCAGAGGAACAAATAACACATTGGACAGAAAGGGGAAGCGCTCGAGGTGGCGCTAGATGATATTAGTTCTGAAGAATTGCTCGAGTCAAGGCGTTGGGCACTGTTGTTATTGGTGTGATGGCGGCCAAGAGTTGTAGACTGGGCCCCGGCCAAACACCTTTGGACTTTGGAGGTTGTGAATGAGACCAGGATGGATAATGAAGCTTCCGGGTTGCTCTGCTGTGATGTTGTGCAAGCCATGTGGTGTACATCGATGCAGGTTGCAGATGGAATGACAAGTTGGATCAGACGGTAGGGACCTGGAGACTTCCATGGACATTTGGCGGTACGTATTGGAAATATCGTCGTCCATTGGTCAACCAGCCCGGCGGATTCCCGAAGATGTTCCAGAACTTTGAATTGCCATAGAGGAAAGAGCGAGCAAAAGCAGTTGCCACCAGCTGCACGGGAAGGTAGGTGCGTGACACCCTTGCCTGCAGCTGCTTACCTGATATGGACCAAAGTGGATTCTTTCCTTCGGCTTGAGCTAAGCGAACCAATGGAACCGTTGGAGCGTGCCTGCCACAGCCACTCTTGGCGCTGACTAGCGCGGTCCCCCACGACCCCGGGGACTCCACTCCGAGCTTGATTCGACTGTGACTATGCATCGCGACCGCCCTTTTTATTTCATTTTTCTCATTTCTTGGCTCCTCTTTTTGTCTTTTTACATTGTCTTCACATTTTTTGTGTTCACACTCCGTGACTCCTTTTTCTCATCTCACAAACTTTGTTTTCCTCGATCAAATTCTTCCCGTTCCTCTTCTCCACATTGTTCCTCCGGTCCTCTCCTAAACCTTCCCCATCTCCATTTTTCACATCACGACTCCGTGTGGATTTAGCCAAGAGCTTATCATCGCTAGCTTATTGTTGCTGCCCATCGATTGATTCGCCTGGAGCTTCACGTTTCAATTTTCCTGTAATGCCTTCAAACTCCACCTCGAAATGCTGACCCGGCCGCCCAGACTTGGA